GGCACGTGTGTCATTTGTCGTTGTAACACTACAGTAAATAATATTGAATATTCAGTAGCACACACCCAATGGTTTTGTTGTCTAATATTTCACTCGCTTATGACTAATCGAGGGTCGAAAAATCCTCCACAATTATTTCTGAACGTCGTCAAATCAAATTTCAAGTCAAGGAATCGGTAGGTAACGATGACGTTTCTGTTGTTTGTGCCCGCAAGTACGAAATGGTTAGGATGACGTAAGACACAAAAAATTCCGAAAGAACAGCTTACAATAGGTAGGTTTTGTGACATTAATTGTGCAGTCATACTTCGATACTCTTTTGCGTTACGTGTTATTAGTGACATTCTTTGGACAGTGGAGCAGTTGTTATGAAGCTTATGGACCAGTAGACACTCGTTAAGCGCAGATGAAGTTATAAGATGCGTAGAACAGTGTGTATTTTAACACTAAGTGAGTTTTCCAGACACGAGTTCACATATCTTTGATTGGAAACCTTCAGCTAAACCTTGACAGACACTCTTTCTCTCTCTTTGACCTTTTAACACCAAGTGAGTTTGCCAGACACGAGTTCACAAATCTTTGATTGGAAACCTTCAGCTGAACCTTGCCAGACAATCTTTCTCTCTCTTTGACCGGAATAAGACTCGGCCCAAAACAAACAAGACGAGTGAATGATTCAACGGCTAACTTATCACTAGCAGAACGAAGGACGATTACAGAAATTCACCGACCATCAAATTCTGTGCTGACTTATTCCCTGCTCACAGATGTCCTTCCGCTATAAAGTTTCAAATAAGACTAGAATAATATTGATCAAACATCCTTTTAATTTCTAAAGCTTACTTTCCGGCAACCAAAATGAACTAAATGTAAAAAGAGAAATAGAAATAGCGAAAAAATAAACTTCTAATTAAATTATTGTTTAGAATAAACTATTCTCGAAACTGAGAATGTGTAAGTCGAACCGAAACTGTGCATGGAACCTTGCGTATATTTCCTGTATTTATCTCACCTATTGTATGGGATATGTGTGATCATCTTCATTATGAATCGGCATATTTCAAAGAGCTACGCAAGGAGCAACAATACTATATACAGAGCGGGGGCAGCTGAAGTGTCAACTATTACTAGTAATAATTGCAGTAATAATAATTGCCCCGCTGGGATTTCACCCAGAAGGCAAAATCCCGAGCAGGCACTCTAGTAACTCGCGCGTATATCAAGGAGAGTACTTACAGTTGAAGTATACAGTTAAACAGTCAATATAGAAAAAATCTCGATTTACTTGAACAGGGGCCGAGAGGAATCGGTAGGTAATGATGACGTTTCTATTGTTTGCGCCCGCAAGTACGAAATGGTTAGAATGAAGTAAAGACAGAAAATCCCGAAGGTTATGGACCAAAAGACACTCGTTAAGCGCAGATGGGGTTATAAGGTGCGTTTAACTGTGTATATGTAAACACTTGGAGAGTTTACCAGACACGAGTTCTCACATCTTTGATTTATATTGGAAACTTTGCCAGACACTCTTTCTCTCTCTTTGACTGGAATAAGACGCACCCCCAAACAAGCAAGACGAGTGAACAACGGCTAGCTTAACACTAGCAGAACGATGGACTATTACAGAAATTCGCCGAAAATCAAATTCTGTGCTGACTTATTCCCTGCTCACAGATGTCCTTCCGCTATAAAGTTTCAAATAAGACTAGAATGCGCGAGCGTGAGTCGATCAAACGTCCTTTTAATTTCTAAGGCTTACTTTCTGGCAAATAAAATGAACTGAATGTAAAAAGTGAAAGAGAAATAGCGAAAAATTCAACTTCTAATTAAATCGTTTCTTATGGTTTAGAATAAACTATTCTCGAAACTGAGAATGTCTTGATCAAAGCTGGGTAAATCGAGCTGAAAGTGTGCATGGAACCTTGCGTTTCCTGTATTTACCTCACCTATTGTGAGATAATTGTGAATATGATGAAATTGTCAGATATTGTGAATATGTGTGAAAATCTTCAGGAAGCGGTATATTTCAAAGAGCTACACAACGAGCAAGAATACTATATATTGACCGACATTATACAGAACGGGGGTAGCTGTAGTGTCAGCTATTGCTAGTAATAATAATAATAATAATAATAATAATAATTATTATTATTATTATTATTATTATTATTATTAGTTATTAACAAAGGTCCAGAGAAGTTAATCAGTGAAATGTCATCAACATCAAACTCCAGGAAATTGAAAAGACAACATTGTTGAGAATGGCATATTTTACAGAAGGTCGTATCCATCAAGTGCTGGAATTTCCATTTTGTTAGCCAGTTCTAGTAGAGCAAAAATTGCTTGACTCTTTACCTCATCTTTCATCCTTCACTTTTCTTTTCCAGTAAGATTATCATGTGCTGTTCAGATTCACAAAGAACCACAACTTATTTTTATTCATTTCCTTTCTTCCAAGAATTTATTACGTCACTCAGTTTACCTGCAAGAGACGAGATTTAATTCTTGTACGGAAACCAAGGCCACCGCTTGGGGTATACTGGCACTTAGTATGGTCCACTGACATGTTTCATAGTAGCCACTTGTACTGTTAATGTCAATATTTCCATACGTACCATTTATTGTCCTGGAACAACCTAGAGGGGAAGATTTCGAGAAAGACCTTCAATGATGATCATGGAATGCAAATATTTTATTTTAGAACAACAAAACAGATTATATGATAGAGATTTACGTCATCATATATGTCTAAGCAGGGCTACGTACAGGCTGCATGGATGCAAGAAAGCACACTATTTTTAAAATTCTACCCAATTCTGCAAAATACTGAGTGAAACACCTAGAGTTGCTACAAATTCATGTTTTGCAATTCACAAAATTTTTAGAGCCTTTAGGCATATACACTACCATGTTCACTATCATAAAGTCATTATCATTATCGGTTATCACTGTCATTATTACAGTTATAATGAATCATAGCAATGATTACTATTATTATTATTATTATTATTATTACTACCATAATAAATTTCTAATAACTGTTATAACTATCATAATCATTATTACTTCCATTTGAAATTTCTTGGAAATGCATTTTGGGATAAAAGTTAATGCTGAAAAGTCACAACGTTTCAACCTCTCTGAGTTCATTTTCAAGTACGAGTAAAGTACAAAATTAGCATAATTAAATATCTTACAATCAGTAAATGCAGTGAAAATTGTTATTTTGTATTTTACTCATACTTGAATATGACCTCTGAGTAGTCGGAAACATTGTGCCTTTGTGACTTTGTGCGTCAACTTTAATCACTAATTATTTGTTTATTTATTTAATGAAAATGTTGGGCAAAGAAGCTAAAAGTGGAATATTTTTAAAAGCTTTCTGTTACTTGCATCTTTTAGAAAGCATACACGCTCTTACCTCCAGATCCTAGTCCATAACATACTACTGAGGCATCTTCATAGTGACCGCAGTTATTGACGCCCCACCCTCTATGCCCACAAGAGCCAATTGAAGTTTCATTGCCTTGGCAATTTACATCATCCAGCCAAATTGGACCACTTTCAGCCCCAAATCGGGCAGACCCTGGAGCACTAATAGCGCCAGGATACCCGAGCTGACGGCAAACAACACGCAAATACAAAAAAGAGCAATTTTTGCACCTCATACGGACCTACAGCCGTCTAGCACAACATTATGATTTTTTTTTCAAAATGTAACTGTTTGCTCGATCCGGCCGAAAGAGTGACACCGCTAATAATTTGTACCTAT